GGGTGGGTGGCATTGTGCATTGCCATGGTGTAGTCGATGGAATAGGGGAGGTAGTGTGCAGGGGGGAGAGAAAAAGATGAGTAGGGGGATGTTGCAGTGGGCATTTTTGCGATGGTGTAGGGTGAATGGAAAGCTAATTTAATGTTTTTGTGTGTGGGGGCCCGGTTTTCCGGGTGGTGGTGTTTGGGTAGTGGCGCATGGTAAGTTGTGTCTGTAGTGGAGGCTTGGTTGGTTGTTTGCTAGTGCCAAGTGCGGCTATGGCGGACTAGCGTGTTGTGGCCTGGCATGGTGTCCTGTCCGAAGTGGCCAGGTCTTCTTTGGTAGTGTTGTTCCGAACTTTGGTGTGTTTGTCAGGAGGTGGGCTCAGCGCTTACATTTAGAGCGGTCCAAAAGATTTTTGTTCGTTCAAAAAAAACGCGTGTTTCTCCCTCTTTTTTAAAAAAAAAGGGGAAATGGAGAACACAGGGGAAAGAGGGGTGTCTGTGTGTTTGGGTCGTCCAGAAAGGGTTGGATTTCGGTGTATCGGTTATTGATGTGGAGTTGGGTTTTGTAGGCTGGTGTTTTTTTTTTTTTTTTTTTCCAATGTGGGTGTGGAGTGGCTATCATTGAGGGTTGGAGGGGTAGAGGGTGATGTGGTCTGTAGCGTTCGCGGTATACAGGTTCACGGGTGTCCTGTTATGTGTGTGTGTGGGTTTACAAGGTCAGGGGTGTACTGTTATGTGTCTGTGGCATTCGTGATTGTATGTGGTATGTCTGTGTCTGTGTGAGTAGCTGTTTGATGGTTTGAGTATGTGTGTGTGTGTGTTTGTTTGTGTGTGTGTGTGTGTGTGTGTGTGTGTGTGTGTGCGTGTTTTAGATATTTCCAGCAACAGCCCCAATTCCACCCAGGTGAATAGATTCAGAATCAAAGCAGTCTTTGTCCTATTGCAGACAACGAGAGCATTTGAGATGTCCATAAGCAATTTTATAATTAAACAGTTTTTTGGTTGTCCTTGGGGTACCCCTTTCATTGTTCTTGCAGCTCCCCTTATACTGTGCCTCTTACGCACAAGGCTGCCGCTGCCCACATCCCCGCGTGCCTTCACGGCCCACTTGCACATTATTTCAGGAGGCAGAGTAAAAGGGAAGGTATGCTCCTGTGCATCTCTTCAGAGCTTCATACTCCTGTTCATTGCACTTCAGATCTTCAGCTTATACAGTCTTTGTGACATGTCTATGTACCGGCACATGTTCAATCCATAGTAAGCGTTCAATCCATCGTAGTTGGAGAAGCCCTTGCATTTATCAGGGCCAAGCATGTTGGAAAAATCACAAAAACATGTGGTAGTCAGAAGAGCTATAAAGCACATCCAGCAATTTTGCGTGTGTGTGTGTGTGTGTGTGTTCGTGTGTGTGTGTGTGTGTGTGTGTGTGTGTGTGTGTGTGTGTGTCTTTTAGTCAACATCCCCAAGCTCTCTCTCTCATGCCATCTTCATACCATCATAAACCTTCATCCATAAACAAAAAAAAAGTATAGATGAGCAATATAATAGAAGGTGCAAGGTTCTGTGTGTGTGTGTGTGTGTGTGTGTGTGCACGTGTGCGTGTTTTTTTGTGTGTAATAAAATATCACCACAACTTCCCCTATTCCACCCAGATGAGTAGACGCGAAGTCATAGCAACTTTACATGGACTGCAGGCAATGAAGCATGCTCAAGATGAGCCAATCCGCCAATGAAACAGTTTTGCTTGTCAAGTCAATATCTATTCAGAACCTTACCTTTAAACCAACAAGGAATCTCACCTTTACACTAGCAATGCAACACACTTGAGATGGGCCAACCCAACAGTTAAAACAATACAAGACAATAAATTCGTTATATTGTTTTCTTGATTATATTTTCATCATCTAGCATTGGGAGGCCTCCCATTTTCTTTGTTTTTGCAGTTTTTTTCTTACTGTGCCCATTACGTACAAGGCTGGCCACGTTGATGATGGTTGAGCACCAGCTGCCCACATCCCCATGCGCCTTTACGGCCCACTTGCAAGTTATAAAAGGAGGCAGAGTAAAAGGGTAATTAGGTTTTGTCTGTTCTCTCAACGACGCTCATTCATATGCGTTTACTAGTTGTACACAAGGAGAGGGAGTAGAGAACGGGGAGGAGGAAAAAAGAAACACACACACACACACACACACACACACACACACACACACAAACACACATATATATATATCGTCAAATAGAACTGCCCGGTAAACCGTAGGCAGAGAGGGAGAAGAGGACAACAAACAAGGGGCTGTGACAAACTGTTTCGTCGGAGTTTCACCGA